TTAAAGATTTCTTCTAGTCCTCTACCCTGTAACAAGTCCTATTTCCTAGGTAATGAAAACCAAGGACTGTTTTTGAAAGAAAAAAATCCCATTCCAGAAACCAAGTAGCACCATTTTGGAAGAAAACTGTTGAAGATGCCTGATTTTTCTTTTAATCTTTTTTTTGGTAAGAAGAATTAAGATGGAATAAACTCCTCAGATTTAATTAATTGAGTCCATTAGTTGAAATTAATTAAACTGAGGCTTTTTGTAGTGTTTCATGTGCTCAAGAGAAGATTACATGCAGCATGAGGTGGACTGCAAAACTGCTGGAAAATGTTGAATACTCCCTGTTTGCACCCATAATTTTAGTAGCTACTCTGACTGGGAGGGAGAATTATGGACTTCAGTGTGAAAAGATGATCCTTTCTTGGAATTGCTAGACGTGGCAAAAACTCCTCCTCTCTAAGTCTTCACTTGCATCAGGAATCAGACTCATCTCCACCACCAAGAAGACACGCTGATTATTTACTTATGGTCCTGTGTCTAGCCAGGATATTTGCTTTTGGAAAAGCCCAGAAACAAGCAAATGTAGGAAGGATGTCTCCAAAATACACATACCGGCCTCCATAGCAAGAAAAGCAGCAGAGAGATGGATATTAACTTTTTGGGGCTCACATGGTGTTTTGTAAAATTATTTCCATAGTTCTATTTATAGGCCACTTTCATAACAGCCACAAGTGGTCTGACAAGTCAGCTTGTCAGAAACATCCCTCACATGACTCCAAAGAGCCTAACTGGTTAATCCCCAATGCCCAGGTAATCCAAGGTTCATCAACAACTCATTTCCTATGTCTCCAACTGTGTTTTCATTCACCTACAGATAAGTCATTATATTTAAATACCTGGTATCAGCATCTCCTACCTCTATGCCTCTTGGAAATAGTCTCCTTCTCTTCCTTTCTTTTGCAATCCTAAGCATTTACTGGTTTCTAAAGTAGAAAACAGACTTTTAGAGCAACTGCCCAGTACTTCCACAGGTATAAATACATTCTTCCCATTCGTAGACAGTGATGTATAGCTGAAACTACTCTAAAATGGCAAGGCTGGAAAGTGAAGCTCTGCTGAACAGGCTAATGTGCACAGGGAATTCAAAAATTCATGCTTAACACAGAAAGACTAAATTAAGCCTTCGCAGAAATCCACATTTAAAAGCAGAGAATAAAGGCAAGCCCAAATGTCAGGCCAAACAGGCCAATTTTGAAAAGACTTTGGAGAAACTGAGTCACATGAACTTTCTATTTTTCATCCCATCCCACTAGGGACAGAGAGAGGTTTCCCCAGGAGGTTCGGTTTCTTCACACAACTGCAAGGAAAAAATTAGCATCTTTCTATACTTTTACACATGGCCACCATATTTTACAACAATGTAAAAAGAGACAGCCCAGAGGAATTTACAGTCCAGGACTGGTAAAAGCATCTTTTTACCTCCCTTGAAACTCAATTAGAAAGGCGCAGCTTGCTCTATAAATTAACCAGGAAGGTTATGATCTGTCTCCTGGGAAGTACCAATTCAAAACTCATTTCCAGTTGTGCATGTTTCACATGCAGAATTAGGATCCTTGTCAAGTGCAATGAGCCATCTCTTCTGGAAATTCCTACTGAAATAAATTACTGAAATCAAGAAGCTGGATGTAATCATTCTCCCCTTTCTCCCACTTTCCCTTCTGTTTTATGGCCTTGTGCAGACAACCTGTACCTAGATGCCAAGGATATGAAGCTCTGAACTGCATCTTAAGCACATGATGTATAGAGAAACATTTGTTGTTTACTGACAATTTTGAATGCTTAACTGTGCTGCTGCATAAATCACTTTTCTTATAAGAATTACATGAATGATATGACAGACTTTTCCCCAAACTAACGTTTTTGTAGTGCTACAATCTTTGCAGAAGCTGAGACTCTGGGGGAAGACAACTACTTCAGCTTTCCACAAGGTGGTGTGGTTCCCTTTGCTGAAAGCATTAGTGCCACTGAGGAAACTAAATTTTTTTATTTAATTTATTTTATTTAATTTTTTTTCAATTGTACTGGCCACTGTCATGAATAGATTTAAATAGGTTTAAGATCTTTAAAATATCTCTAACAAGGTTCATTTTAACAAATTCTTCCAATATAGAGTTTAATGAGTTAAAAAAAATAATCTTTCTCTTATGCTGAAATGAAGAAAAAGTATCTGTGCTTGCTACCATACAAAAGCAAGCTTCAGTCATATATAGTTAAGGCATGTCATGTGGCAGAGGAAAGCCTAAGGGGCTAAAAAATCTGATTTTCCAAGTCTCGGCTTATCAGTTTCAAATTCTATCAGAATTCTTTCAGTCTCGCAATATTTTGCAAATAAAATGGGCTAGCAAGGAATCCACCTACCACACCCCTTTCCCATCCATGGGAGAATTAAAGATCCCAGAGCATTTTCCACAGGTGAAAATTTTCCCTGCTGTTTCCAGACCACTTCCCATGCCTATGGGTACGGTCGTTCAGCAGCTGCTTTGTCCTGTCCTCGGGGCAGAGGCCGATGCACTGAACAGCTCTGCCCAGAGCCTCTCCCGCTGCAAAGCAACATCAGCACCGCTGAGCTTCAGCCACAGCACCACACACGCGGTCACTACCAGTGACCCCTGCACAACATCAGGCAGTGACAGACAGCAGGTAAGGTGCTTGGATTCAAGTGATTTAAAAAAACCCCAACAAACAAAACCCCCAAAACCACAACACCCAAACACGTATAGTTTTTCCTCTATTTCTCGTCTCGCTCCTCTCAGTCACTTCAGCGAACACTTCAGTGCTCAGTTTTGATCTCCCGTTTAAGCATCATCAGCATAGTTTTGCCTAAACAGGAGAAACAAAACCAGCTGTTATAGACAAAAGAGGACAAGCTTTTGGGATTGACCCATTTCCCTGACACTGGATGGGTATCAGTTCCACAAATTTGGAAGTTTAAAGAGCAAGCCAGAGAGGGAAGGAAGATGATGACACACGAGTTATTCGCCCACACAAATACTGCCATCGTTCTCCATGCAGGAAGGGCTCCTAATTCTACCCAGGGCAAATCACCTAGGAAAGTCAAACATATCAAAATGCCATCTCCCTGTAATTCTTCCCACGCCATAAGGCTTATCTTGAAAGGAACAGCTTTCTGCTTCTGAGGACTGCTACCTAATGCTCATCACTCCTCCAACTCCATTTACTGTTACTCCCTTCTGTGCTCAGAATTTAGTGCTTGTCATTGTAACGAGCACAGCTGAAACCCTTGCTTTTTAACTGCCAGCCTGCCAAGCCAAACACATTCATTCACATCTGATTTAAACATCACAAGCCAAATAATCAAGATGACAAAGAAGTTTAAGTACCCTGATCAGTCCATTTTCTCTCCTAAAATGTATCATTAATGCTATTGTAATTATTAACACTGTTACATCCTGTCTTCCTACATGTAAGTAGCTTCTGATCCTGTCAGTTGCTGCAGGTGTATGGCACAGCCAAAACACTTATTTCAATTACTTGGATTTCTAATTATAGAGATTCACATACATCCTTAATAATGGAAGCAAGCACAAGGCAACACCATCAACAAGACAAACCTGGATATATGTATACAAGCATTCAAAACCTTCTGCTGCTTCTTTCTCCTCAAAAACCTTAGGTTACAACAGTAAAGGCTCCAATTTAATTATGGTGCTTGTTCACATAATGGTCTCATTTTTCTCTATAAATTTCATCCTCAAATTAGGTTGCATTCTCTGTTTGAAAATACAAAGTTTCTTGTTCTAAAAAGTAATTTCCTTGTTACTAGCTGCAAGTTCAAGCAGCCACATAAACAAGGAAGAGTACTTAAAAAAGGGACAAGCTCGAGAATAAAGAGCAAATTCTGTCACCAAATGCCCCAGGAAGCTATCCAGCCATGACAAACAACAGAACCCTCTCTCACTCAGGACAGAAAACTCACTTAGTTGTGCAAGGGGTCAGTTATTACAGTTGGACAGTAGAATCCTGAGCTGTAACACTCAGTTTCTTGGCTTATGTGATTTTAAAAGAAGTCACACTTTCCTGACCAAACTGAATGAAACTTTAAATCTGCAAAGTCCTTTGATGGAACTAGTCTCACATGGTCAATCCACATTGTGCCAAAAGGAGAAGCACAGTTAATTTCAAAACCTAGGAGACATTCTGCACCTTGCAAGTTATATTTACAATTGCAATTTTTTAATTGGTATCCCATTGTGGATTGTCTTACAGACCTTGGCTTCTGGATCACTGTTGATGCTACAAGAATCATCATCATCAGATTGTGGACCATTCCTGTTACAGGGGGAAAAAAAAAAAAAAAAGACAAAAATAAATCTGAAAATCATATCAAAATTACAGGCACAGCACAAAATGGAGCTGGTCATTCCATGGTGACTTCTGAAGTCATTGTACCTGAGCTTCAAAGAGGCATAGCGTAATGTTGCTCCTTCAAACTCTTTCAGACTTGGGTCTGGGTTCACAGTGGCTGCATGCAGGTCCTAGAGATAAAGGCAGTGCTATTAGTATAGTATTAAGTGCTATTAATATAGTATTAAGTACACCACCGTGTTATTTCTTATTTCAAAGGGAAATTAAATCCTCCCTGCAAAGAAGCGATAGTATTTCTGGCTGAAGTTGAAAAGAGGCATGCATATATTCTCAAGCTGCATTTCATTCAGTGCAGGCATCTTACTTGTTACATCATGGCAGTTGCCCTGCTAGTTTAGGCTGAATCCAACCCAAGTGGAAAGATCAGAAAAGGCAGCATGTTTGTGAGCTAGACATCCCTAGCAGTACCCCCATTCACTTTGGCCTAGCTTATGAATGACATTCATGGAAAAATAAAAGGGGAAAAAAAACAGCCACTGCCATGCAAAAAACAAGGGTAACAGTATTAAAGGTTCTAAAATCTGACAATATACTTGCCTTCCAAATGTCACTATTAATCTTTCCCCCATTCAGTACAGCAAAATCACTCCATGGCTGTTTCTAGACACATAATTATTCACACAGAAAGAAGCACATTGATTAAAAAAAAAAAAGAAAGAAAAAGAAAAAAAACACAAGACACTGTTGTTAGCATTGATATTTACAGGATGGGTTAGGGAACAGATCACCTCAAACTTCAACTAATTACTCCACTATACCATGGCATTTGGAGGAAAGGGGAGAGAAGACAAGCCTCTAACAGTTACTTACCAAAACAAATGATTGAAACAAGGAAAGTTAATATAAATTAGGAACAGACAATGAAATTACTCTTTAACTATGATCTTAAAAGCAAGCAAAATGAATCTGAATATGAATGTTGGCCACAGCTGCTACAGCCTTTGATAAAAAACAATTAAGGGGAAACATTAGAATTTCCATTTGATTGGCACCTTTGTTAAAAACCCTAACACTACTGGAATTAGAAATACTGAAACACAATGATATATACAAGGATAAGATACATACAAGGTAAAATCAAATGTTTACAGAGGAAAAACACAAGAAAAGGACAGTGAAGGGAAGGAGGATTAGTAAGGAGTGCAGAGAGATTTCTTGCTGAAAAAGTAAAGTCTAGCAACTTTTTTAAAAACAGAACAACCCAAAAAATACCCCAAACCAACCACCCATGCTCTCATTTTCCATTCACATTTCTCAACATTTTCAAGAGGCATTCACTGGTACAGTCAAGCAAGTAGCAGTGCATTTACCACTGCAGCAACCTAAGGTTCATCTTTCTCTAAAGCCTGGAAGGAGCAGCTGATGTTGGAGTTGCCCCTCTTCTCTTCCCCACAGGGACAGAAACCCCACAGTCCTGAACAAGAGCCAGGTGGGACAGAAGACCTGGCTGCTGAGAGACTCAGAGCCACCTTTTTGTGGCTTCATCAAATCCAGTATTCCTGTAATTAGCGACCACTTTTACGATGAGCTCTCCCAGGTTGTCCAGCTCAGCCCCAAGATGAAGCAGTACCTATTAATATGGCCCGATGCATTAATTTGCAGGGTGGACCTCTCACCTCAGAAGTGTTTTCAGTACAACCCCACTGGAAAAATTATTTGTGAAAAACAACTCCCAGGAGTAAGTCTTCCCTAACATGCCTTTGAATTAACTGAGTTGTTAGCTTTTCCTCCTAAGCCCCTCCTCATTAATTATTAGCTGCTAGTGGTTATGTTACCTACAGAAGAACTTCTAGAGGTGATCCAGGCCTGGGATGAGTCAGGCTATAAGACAACACAACTACCATCACCAAATTCTGCCATGATCTCCAAGAACCTCTTCGTGAAAATTAAACCCTATGTCTTTCTCTCTGCACAAAAAATGGGAAAGAGGCAGCAAAATCTCTAAAATTTGGAAGAGAATGTTACAAAAGACAAGGACTCACAAAGGAAGTCATTTGGCAACACACAGGAGAAAAGAGCCATCTAAAACTAAGTCAAATTTAATCATCTGTGCAAACCCAAAATATATTTTCATGCTTTTGAGGGGGAGGAAGGGAAGGAATGTTCCAGGTTATTCATATTTAGCATTTATTAGCATTTTTGTTAAATCTGCAGGATTTTCGCATAATGCTTAACCCATAATTGCTTTGGATTGAAATTTACTGATTATCTTGTGAAAGAAAAATTGCCTTGCTGCCTGTGCAAAAGCAAGACATTTTCATATTTTTTTCCTTTTTAAAACCCTTTCTGCCATTTGTATTCATTACAGCATCATTCCTCCCAACCCATATTTTTTTTGATTCTCTGTTCAACAACAGTAACAGCTTTTCTTTATGCTAAATATCCAGAATAAGCTACAACATAAAAATGGCTGACTTGATCTGTTCTTTGTTTATTGCCCTCAGCTGTGAGCCACATTCTACCAAATGAAGCAAAGCTTCTGTATATCACATCATTTAAGAGACAGGGACACAAAATAATTAAAAAAAAAAGGGGGCGGGGGAGAGAAGAAGGAAGATGACAAAGGGTAAAAAGGCATTACTCGGCGGGGGGGGGAAGGTGTTTCTAAATGTTTATTTGACAAACTCAAAAGCTGGTAGAGCCCAAATAAACTCATCTCAAGATTAGCACATGATGCTTCACAGACAAATGCGATAAAGATAAAAGTATTTTTTATGGACTCCCACAAGCCTATTGGGACAGATATGAAAGGCTACCCATGCCAGTCTTCAATCCTAGATTATACTCTCTCATCTGCCTAAAACCTATATATTCCCCAACCTTTTTGGAAGCAAGCAATAAAAATTCTAGCACATGGGAATGAGCAAAACCAGCCCTCCCAGACCAGATTATCTTGGAGGACAGGCTTCAGCAATGAGGGAACTAGCAGTGCATAGCTCACACGTGGTCCAACTTGGAGCTGGAAGCTGTCCACCACAAATGTTGCTGCCAATGGTAGCGCTGGGATAAAAGGTGTTTGGGAGCCCCTATACCAGATCAAATTCTTCATATTTTGTGAAGTGTAAGATTGACCATATCACAGACATCCAGGGGAATCCCTCACGGGGAGCGAGAGGGGGAGTACCTGGGGTAGGCTACAGTGCAGTGAACAGGGACTGAAACCAATACCACCTGCAAGTGATCTGAAGATGATTAGCTGCTGGCAAGTACTGATTGCAGAGAGACAAAACCCGAAGATTCATGATAGCTGACACTGTTAAATCTAGATTATAAATTATTTCATTACCTACCCCTATCTCTTAACCCCACCCCATGACTTATTTCCCTCTTACTGCTCTGTAGCAGAAAGAACCAGCTCAGTTCCAGCAGTTCTCCTCCAGTTCCCTCTTAATAAAGCTCAACATCTGTGGTTCCAAGAAATGCAAGACTTTTTCTAACAGTTCTCATTGTAACTCCAGCTACGCCCCTTCTTTGTAGCAGTTTCAGAATTAGGCAGTGCACAAAGTCCTGAGCCCAGTTCACGCTCTCATTTAGAACTCCATTACTGTAAGTCTGCTGGTGTTTTCTTGCAATGCTATCCTCATAAACACCAAGTAAAAAAAAAAAAAAATCAGTACTGTTTAAATAATGGTAAGATGCTTATCAATGAATGCAGAAACCTTCCATAGACAAATGCTTTCGTCTATACCTACAATTCAAATAACCATACAATATCATACTAACACAAATTTTGCTTATTTTCGGTATCATCTTTTACACTACTCTATATGGTCTTGATGCTGCCACAGAACTGTATATGAATAAATCTTTTCTGGATCAAATTCCTTGCTGAATTAGAATTGCCATATCAAAACCTAGATGAGCCTACTACGTACTCACATACATGGCATTTTAGAATGACTCCTCAAATGTCTTATCTAATACACCTACACTGTATTAAATTCTATGTTGTTACAATTCATACATTTCATTCTCCATGATGCTGCTGAGAATTAATGATCATTATTTATAATCACAAACTATTCTTCATTTAAAGCAAACAAAATTGTGAAATGTTAAAGGTACATCTGCCACATTACCAGCAGGGTCTGAAATTTTCATTGTAAAGACATTTTAAACAGAGGCAAAAAACATTTGAAATTAATATAAGCATTTTCCCTCTTACCAACGATACAGATTTCCGGGGTTTTGTGAAAGACATTTACAACTTACTAATTAAAGACCTGTTCTCCATATTTTAGAGTAAAAAAAATACTTAATGGTGAAGTTATATCACTCACGTGTACATTACAAGAATTTATACTGGAAGCAAGTGCAGCACATTATATTCAGCATTTCTGGACTATTTTTTTCTTGTTTTCTAGCTGAATGATAACAGTTGCTGTTCTTTCTCTATGAACCCTCTCAGAAATAATTTCCAGTGTGCTTGGCGCACAGTACATTCCACAGGAGCTTGACTGATGTAAACCATAAGTGAAATGTTGTGGACAAGTTTGCAAACCTTATGAGTAGCATTTATGAACATGTGGGAGCAATCTTCATAAAATAATGAACAGGAATGTACTTGTTTAAGCCTATACAGGATAAAAGTTTCAGGGTCAAGATGGTAATAGATACTTGAATGTCCTTAACTCCTCTTAACTTTCATTTAAGCTATTTTGGTGCATATATCAACAAAATAAAGAACAGAAAAAATGTCGTATCTAAATACATTCTAAAAAAAAAACCAAAACAAAAAACCAAAAAAACCAACAAAACCAAACCCTAAGGATTGCCTGATCAAAAACTCAAAGCTAGTACAAAGACTTCACTTTATTTCATAAAACTATGGACTTTCTTCTGAAAAAGAATTCATTTCAAAACAATTTGATTTTATGTTAGTATTTCATTCCATAGAAGTCCTCCCAGCATACCAAACCAAAGTGACTGCATTTTTTGAAGCATGCTCTTCTTTCTGACAATTTATTTTGTTTTTCTACTTATATGACATCAATCAACCCCCTGGATTGTGCCTCAAAGGATTATTTTAAAAGGCGGTATCGCATATTGATCTTTCAGCATATGTTGAAGAGTGCACTTCTTCTGGTTCTAGTTAAAAGACTGACTGCAACAGAGTGATCCACTTGTGCAGGTATTTTCTATTGGCAGGATGTTAAGAGACTTACACTGGAGAATACTTGATGTTTATTCAATAGCAACTACCCTGTAAAGGAACTAGTGTCTCAAATGGTGACTCACATGTCTTTGTGTGATATTCCCACCAAGTGAACCAAAAAGAAAGAAGATGCAAAGAGTCCAGCCAAAAGACTGCTATAACGTACAAAAAATTTATGTATCCTGTATCAATATAATGCAGCAACACTTCAGCACATGCTACAGAACTGCAGTAGTTTAACATTAATCAGGCACTAGCTGTCTAATTTATTTGAGATATGTCTGATTTCATGCTACACATCCAAAGTTTAGGATGTTTCATGAGGCATGGCCATTAGAAAATGCACATAGAAAACAGATACTTACGATGTATCATCAACAAACAGCTACACTTTGGATATTATCAGGCCTCATAATCTAAAGTTTAGTTTAGTTAACAGTTAAACCTGCAAGTTCAGAAAATTATTTAAATTTTCTTTACAGTATGTAGCCCACAAGAAGACACAGTGTGTTACCTCAGTTTCTGGAGTAGGAGACGGAGTAATGGAACCAAGTGATCCTTTCCGTGAGCCCTGCAGATCCGTTGGGATGGACACGGGACGTTGCCATTGAGTTGTTCCTGTTGGTATGTGCCAGTAGTAGATCCCAGCAATATCATTGATTTTTTTCCATCCAGGTGGTAAGTCTGGGTCTGTCTGAAATGACTGATCACTCCATATATCTGCTGGGAACAGGGGTGGGGAAGAAAATTAACGAATGTTACTAAGGCATGAACAGTTCTTCCACGGGTCTACAAGTGGTGCACAGCTGGTACTGCTGTTGTACAGTTCCTGTGTAAATGAACACCAGAAAAACATACCAAATTATTAAGGCTCAAAGTAAAGTGACAAAGCCTCATTTGACTGGCCTACGAGAGGAAAAAAATACGCTACCTACCAAAGTTCTAATATAGCAGCTAATACCATCAGTTAAACTCACTCTTCTAATGAGGTTTAGCTTCAAGTACATTAAAACACAGCATATAAAGAAAAATCTGGAATTGTTGTGTACTCTATCCTCTTCATCACAGCACCTTCGTTCTCAATGCACGGTAGCAGAGCATATATTTCTGCTAATCAAAGTAATCTTATCAAAACAGAGACACCCCCACACCAATCAAAAAATCCGCATTGGGTTTACTTACAACATCTAAAAGACTACTTGTTCAAAACATGAACATGAACATGTAACATGCTCTAGGAGAGCCTGCTTTAGCAGGGGGGTTGGACTAGATGATCTCCCGAGGTCCCTTCCAACCCTTGCGATTCTGTGATTCTGTGAAAACGATGAGAACAAAAGAACTGAGCAATCATTTTACACACACCCCGACTGTCACAAACAAACATACTGTTTCCAGTTGGTTTTATAATGGGGTAGGAAAAAAATAATCAAAAACTCATCCACAGTGCCAACACAGAGATGAAATACTGGCTTTACCGACAAACGTCCTACTAACTTAATGCACCAGCAATTTGCATCATAACGAGACATTCCCAGATTTACCTGGGATTACAGATGCATATAACAGATGCCACTGGTGAAGAGCATGCAGCGTTTTTTAGAAAGGCAGGGGCATCACCTGTGTGCAAACCAGCTGTACCCCAGCAGGGACAGTTACCTTCTGCCGGGTACGTGCTTTCCAGAGGCTGGGAAAGAGCCAGTGCTCTTCTAAACTTCTCAGCTAAACTGCTTTGGCGGTGTCACTATGGTATGTGCCATTTAAACAGCTGCTACAGTCTACTCCAAGGACCGTCAAGCTGCAAGGGAGAAACATGTAACCTCCTGCACTGATGTTTCTACCCGCACTTGAGCAGACATGATGAAGGCTGACATCAGCACCATGAATTCAGCTAGTGAGGAAAAAAGCCTCAAGAATAAAGGAGGAACCACACCAATAAGCTGTGGCTCATCTGGTCGGGCAATGTTTCCAGCCTTCAAAGAGAGTCTTCAAAACACCTTCAGTGGACAACAGATGAATAACCTGGTTTTGTTTTGCTGCTCTTAATCTGTTTTTTGATTTAAGTTTCTTGTTAGTCTATCCTCAAACCTCTTACTAGGTGTTTTATCACAGTTGCTTGTTTCTGAATGTCTCTCATTTCTGCTACCTACATTTATGGACAGACACACATGCACACACAAGTGGCAAGATAACCTGAAATAATTCTACGCTCCATGGCACAAACCAGACTATTTCTTCCCCAGAGCCACTCAGAGTTCTTAAGTTACTGATTTACCACTTGAGCAGCATTGTCCTGGTTTCAGCTGGGATAGAGTTAATTTTCTTCAAGCATTTCTCAGTTTCTCATGCTCTACTGACTGAGAAGGCTGGAGATGCACAAGAAGCTGGGAGGGGGCAGAGCCAGGCAGCTGACCCAAACTCGCCGAAGGGATATTCCAGACCATATGACATCATGCTCAGTATATAAACCAGGAAAAAGCTGATCAGGGGGCCACTGCTCAGGGACAGGCTAGGCATCAGTCAGTGGGTGGTGAACAACTGCATTGTGCATGACTTGTTTTGTATATTCTTTTATCATTATTATTATTTTCCCTTTCTTTTCTGTCCTATTAAACTGTCTTTATCCCAACCCATGAATCTTACTCCCATACTCACACGATATTCTCTCCCCCATCCTACTGCGGGGAGTGAGCGAGCATCTGTACAGTGCTCGGCTGCCTGCCAGGTTAAACCACAAGAGATACAGCACAAGAAAGATAAAAGTAAGAGTCAACATACAAAACCTGACAGGACAGGTGAATGTGCTTGTGGCATCAGAGACCTACTACAGGACATCAATGGCTTTTCTTTATTTGAATAAGGAATTACGAGTAGTAAAATAATTCTCCTGTGAATTTGAAAGAAACTGTTCAACGGTGTGACACTGAGTCAAAGCATCTAAAGGTTGCATGGGTCACTGTAAGAATGGTCCCTTATCAGAGAAGTATTTGGAGCCCAGAACAAAATGAAGGCACCACACTGATACACTTATCCTGTTACATTCAATGGCCTTTTCAATCTCAATCTTATTGTAAAAGTGACAGCCATAAGACAGGGGAGAAAAGAAGCAGGTGTCTGCACATCAGTCCAATTCTCCTGACATGGCATCAAAAAACTTGCATGAAACAAACCCAAGAGGAAATAGAACTGAACACGTTGGAATTCTTCAGCTGAAATCAAGAACTCCTCTTATATCTGCAAGACTTTGGAGGTAAAAACACTGCATGGAAATGGTCCCTTTTGCTCTGTGGATGACTACGCCCTACTTGCTTCCTCAGTGGCAGGGGATTTACAGTGTTCAGGAACTTTACTCCAAATCCCTCCCAGTCATTCCCAGGAGGTGAAGTTTGACCTGGCATCTCCTGGCCTTTTCCATGTTCTTCTTCACTTCTTCACTGGTGAAAGGTTAATGAATCAGGACCACATGGTTGCTCATAAAGCTTCTGGTTTTGAAAGTACCATTGCTCTGATAATACAGAAAGCGTGGCTTACTACAGGAATTCAGAGCACAATTCACAAAAAGAATGTATCCTTTTGTACTGTGGTTGGTTTACCTACCATGTATTACAGCAAACCATGATCTCCTGAAAGCCTATACTGTAAGACATTTCTTATATAAAATGCATAAAACAACATAAGAAAAACAATAGAATAAGAGAACTAGAATAAAAGAGAGCCACTGTAGCTAAGCTGTATGAGACAGCAGACCCTGAGTTTAAGAAACTTGGATTCATATTATCTATATAACTTGTCTTTCTACATCAGGAAAGTCAAATTATTATCAGTGGAAAAACTATTTTGAGATGTAACCAATTCGAAACTCTGCATAGAAATGGGGCACGTAGATTCACACAGCACTGCAGACCTTTAAAAGCTGACTTTTTTTCTGGAGAAAGACCTTACTGAGCAGGATGGCTCCACCGCCCACATACACTACAGAGGTGAAGTCCAAAGTCAGCGCTCACCACCGAAGACTGGGCAGTCAGATTGCAGCTGATTGTTCACCTCACTTTCTTATCTCGAGGTGTATGAGAGCTGTCACTAGCAAAGCAGGCTGACTCTCATCCTAGATCTGCCCACACTGGCACAGACACATCGACAAGTCCTCATCGGCAAGCTGCGACCTGGAAATCTGCCCAAGATAAGTGTGAGCTGTCACCACCCAACTTCTGAAGCTACCAGCTTAAAGGTCAACATAGTTAGAAGTTCACAGCTGGTCTTCTGCAGGCAGATTCATATAAAAGGACAGGTCGCAGAGAGAGGACTGTTATTTTTCAGTTGGAGTTTTGCCTCACTGAAGACCAAAGCCTAAAGTTTTGTCTGTACGGGGAAGATCCCCAAACTGGCTATTCATGGGGATGTTATTATGGAAGAACTGTGGGAAAATTCTAGTGAAAAAACATTACAGAAAAAGAGACGTGGTGGAGGATTTTGAGGACTAAAATGGAAGATCACTTAAAACCATGAAAGATGTGATTTAAGATAAGAAGCTAATTTCATTTGAGGAGAACTGAAAAACATAGAGTGGACTTCACTGGGCTTTCCTGCCTCCATCACCTTCCTGCACCAGGACCTGCCAAGTGCCTCAGGAAACCAGATCCTTCCCCTCTACCTAAAGCTTGCTTAGAATTGGCACCATAGTCCCTTCTTATGAGGTCCAATACGACAGGGCACAGGGCTGCTCTCCGAAAACCTTTGGCACTGGTCTCTGCAGGACTCAGGGAGGGGAATCTGCTTGCTGAATCCCACCACACAGTCTCCCCTTCATCTCTTCAGAGACTCAGCAACGCAGCGACAATAGGAACATTATTAAAAGAATGGGAAAATTATGAAAAAAATGAAATAATGACAAGTGAGAACCCAAGGGGATGGGGTGCCTGCAATGTCTTACCATTCCCTTTTGAAACCAAACAGCGAATTTATGTCAGTCATTTATCTTTAAAAATTAAAATAAGGAGAAGCAACTAACTCACAAAAAGCCAGTAAGGCTTTAGAAAAGTACCAAAGATAGATGATTTTTTTTTTAAAGGTATAGATAGTTGTTTCCATTTTCAATAAATATACAAAGGAGTAAAACAGTCTGAAGAGATTCCCACTTGCTGAAATTGTCTGTTGAAGTTTCACTCAAAAATAAATACTTGTGTCTGAATTTTTGTCTGAATGGCTGAAACATGGAGCCTATAATAAAAAAAAACCTGAATACAGCCTTCATACCAGTATCACTATAACTGAGGAGAGCAGCTAAAACTCAAAAAAACCTGGAAAAATAAAGTCTGTTACACAAAATGAAACTATTAATTCACTCTTTTGAAACAACTAGCAACAGGGATGTACCTCTACAAAACCATGAACAGCTATACTTAACTGATAATTCTGGCTAGGAGAGCTTTGTGAACACATTTTGTATTCTAAAGAAGACTGAATAAAGCCAACAGAATGTAATAGATTGCTGTTTGTAAATCCCTTCTCCAAATGTCAGCCTCTGCCAGCTACCTGATATAAAGCAGTGAAGAATTCCACGCTGTAGCTATCGTTCAGATACTGAGTTTGGCATAATAGTTAGAAATTTTAGTAATTACATTTTTATTTCAAGTTCAAGTTATTTTACTATCTGAGGCTGATCTAGGAAAACAGTGTTATGTTGAAAAGAGATGGCAATAAAAAATATAAATAATTCACTGAAGAGC